CGACACCTCTTGCCATGCGAGAACAGGGTATGAGCCCAACTATGCTTCCTGTCATGGAGGGCGAAACAACGGGACCTAGTTACGGTGCAGTACCAACTCCCCCGGGTCTGAGGCAACCTGAGTCTGGAGGCCAGCTTGTTGCAGGTTCGGGTTTGGAGCAGCCACAGGACGCAGCGGAAGGTGGTGCAGTGGAGCCTTCGCTTTCGGATCCTGTGACAGTCACGGAGGTCGGACAGGCAGTGGTTACGGACCCAGCTGTTCCCTCAAGTAGCGATGTGCCGCGAGCTTCTTTGACACCAACAGTTGCGGAACCGTCGGCTACCGAATCGGTGGCTCAGCGGATCGAGGCTGAGGGCCTCACCTTTTCTCCTCCTGAGGACTGTCCGGACACGCATGAGCACGTTACTCAGGGCAACTCTTCCATGTGGTTTTTGCGCCTGAGTGAGTTTGTGCAACGTCGTGTGAACCAAGCTGGGGCTATCATGACACCAATTCTGGAGAATAGACAGCCGCGAACTCCGAGTTTGAGCACGCCACCACGGGCCCCGCGTCTGTTTTCTCCGGATGCTGAACAGGTTATGCAGCAGTGGACTCGACGAGCACCACACCTGTACCCAGCAGATGTTCGTGCGGCCCCTACGGAGTCTTCAAGTGGATCGTTGACTCAGGTGCAGATGATGGCCGAGGTGCAGAAGCAAGTCAAAATGGAGCTGAAGGCGCACGAGGATGAGAAGGTTGCATTGCGAAGCGAGAATTTGCAACTGAAATCCATGTTGGAACGTGTGTTGATGGAAGTGCAGACCCGAGGCCTGGAAGACCGGAGGAGCATTGATGAGCGTGGAACTTCGTTGGGACCAGAGGTAGGCGTCGCCCCGGGTGGAACCGGAGCGCGTGATGGCAATCCTTCCGAACTACCTCGTCGCCTCAATGTATGTGAGGAAGCTCCTCGAGGACACCAACCAGGTCCTGCCCCGCAACCACCTTCTACTAATGATCCTGTTGCTCCCTTTGGTGATCGAGGAGCTGCCGGAAGCCGAAGAGGTGACCTACTTGGAGTTCTCGGCGGAGCATTTGGTGGTGCTCCAGAGCTGAGGAGCTTGGGAGTGAGTGGTCAGGCTTCTGGAGCTCCAGACGCCCGAGGTGGGGGACCACAGGCAGCCGGAAATCAGGCTGGACAGATGCCTGCTGCCAGAGCAGTGGATGATCCAATGGGAGCCCTCATGAGAGGGATGGCGCAGCTACAGAGCGCTATGACGGAGTCAATTGCCTCCCGCTCGAAGGATGAGATCGTGAAGCCGGGACAAGCCGAATTGCCGAAGTTGCCGGACCTTTGTTCGAACTCGGCCATCGATGTCGGTGATTGGCTTCATGGTCTGCAGAACCACATGGGAGACCTATCTAGCAATAGTGGGATGTGGTGGAAGGAGGTTTTAGCCTGTCTTTCCCGCTATTACGAAGCGTACCTCTCGGCCTCGCACGTCGGCAAACTTTCCCTAAGGTCGGCGGACTACGAGTCAGACTTCTTGAAGGACACCCGCTGGCTGAGGCTAGACAAGCGCGCAGCCTCTATGATCTTGGCGTGCATCCCGGAGGCCGTGAAGTCGGATATCCTTGCGGCCAGATTGGCTGGGACCCTCCCCATGTTGGCAAGAATTGTTGTCTTATATCGGCCTGGATCGGTGGCTGAGAGACAACAAATACTCCAGGCCTTGGAGTCTCCAACCGCGGCTCGCTCATCTACGGAGGCTGTGAACGAGCTGAGGAAATGGAGCAGGTGGATGGCTCGGGCATTGGATATGGGCTTGCAGCCCCCAGACCCCAGTGTCTTGATTAAAGGCTTGGACTGTATGACGAAGTCAGTTCTGAATGACCACAGCGATGTTGCCTTCCGTATTTCTATGCTTCGCTACAACCTGGAGGTGGACACTCGACCCACCATCAAAGGGGCCCAGGACCTTCAGCAGGCTTTGTTGTCAGAGCTGGAACAAGTTGCGTTCAGGACTCGATCTGGAGGCTCAGCTGCAGCTACAGCCAGCGTGAAGGCGGTTGTCCTGCCGCCACCTCCGCCTCCTGCGAAGGCTCCTCAACCTGCTGGTGGTGGAGATGGAAGCCCAAGGAAGCAGAAGCCTCCTTGCAAGTTCTACCTTACGGAGAAGGGTTGCTCTAAGGGCGGAGCCTGTTCGTTTTCCCACAACTTCACTCGCAAGGAGAGAGCCGGGAGATGTTGGACTTGTGGAAGTACATTGCACCAACAGACTACGTGTCCTACGAAGCAAGATGGAGGCAGCCCGACTGCCAAATCCAAGGCGAGTGCACCCAAGGCACCCGCGCAACCACAGGTGGCAACAGTTATTACAGAGCCAGCCACAGCTCCGCTACCATCGGCTGGTGCAACGGGACCTGCCACCTCTATGGCCTCGTCGAGTACCTCAACGGCATCTACAACCTCAACCCTGCCGGAAGGAGATCTTAAGGACTTGCTGAAAGAGGCCAGTGCCATGCTGAAGGAGATAAGGCAGCTCAAGATGCTGTCTCTCTCGCAGGTGGAGCAGTGTGCAAAGGAGCTTGGGTGTGACCCTATTGAAGGTCGCACAGGCTTGCTAGACTCGGGTGCGAGCCACCCCTACCGCGAGGCTACCGATGAAGAGCTTGATGCAGCATATAGGGTCCAGGTACAACTTGCAGACGGACGTGAAGTTTGTCTAGCGCAGAATGCTTCGGGCACTTTGCTGGTTCAGGCTTCGAGGAGTGGTGCATCAAGCGGGCCGATTGTTCCGCTGGGAGCATTGGTCCAGGACCTTGGTTGCCAAGTTTCTTGGACGAGGCGTGGCGGTTTGACTATTCGCCACCCAGAACACGGCATCATTAAACCCACCATGGTGGGTCGATGCCCAGTCGTTGCCGAAACCCAGGCCCTCGACTTGATTTACGAGATCGAGTGTGAAAAGCTACGTGAGCTTCGCTCCGCTACCAAGGCCAATGCGAAATCGCTATGGATGTGGGCCACTGACAAGCCTTGGGCCCAACACCTTGAGACGTTTGTCCGCGAAGGAGGGCGAGTACACCAGTTGCAGGCCATGAATGCCATGGGCTCCCCGTTCCTGGGATGGTCCGAGCTTGATAAGTCTTTGGCTTCTGAAAGCATTGATCTTGGTGATAAGGCGGGCTGGATTTACTTGAGGGCTTTGCCGGGATCTCGTCAACGGAGGAAGAGGCTTATGTCTATGCCCTGGGTGGTGCATTTGTTTTCGGGCCCTGGCCATGCAGTTGACCCTCTCTTTCGTGAGCTTGATGATGGTAGAGTGTTGGTCCAGATCGATATCAACCGCTCCAAGTCCGAGGACCTAGGCATGATTGCGGGCGTCTATCGGTGCCTTTTGTGGGGCGCTGCTACAGGACGGATTGACGGCTTCTTCGGAAGCCCCCCGGTGAAGCCTGAGTTGGTTCAGAAGATGATGTGGTTGGTTACAGTCGCTAAGGCCGCTAGAGCCGAGCATGGTGGCCACCCGGTGTTTGCCATGTTTGAAGGAGAGAAGGTGATGAAGTTGCGTCGTGATGCTGACGTCGAGAGGTGGAAGGCGGTGGTTGGATCGTGGGAGAAGTTCGTTGAGGCAACGTGCTTGGAGGAGATTGGCGAGAGCATTGTGACCAACTTGGCGTTTGATGGTGCTCCTCCGGCAGCTACTGAGCGCGGTTCATCGAGGTGGACCTTTGAGTTCAAGGAGGCATTGGTTCAAGCTGTAAGGCTTTGGGGACGTGAGCCAGAGGCCTTGCAAGTCGCAAAGTGGGTTAAGAAGTTGGATATCAAGGATGGGGATTTCATGGAGTCGCTGTCTGACAAAGAGCTGGCTATGTGGCGAGCACATGTTCGGAACAATCATTTGCCCTACAATCGTCGTTGCCAGACATGTGTCCGATCGTCTGGTATCGGAAAGATCCACAGGCGCATTAAACATCCTAGCGCTTACTGTCTGAGCCTTGACGTCGCAGGGCCCTTTCGCCACAAGGCTGCTGATCCCAACCACAAGGATTACAGATATCTGCTAGTCGGGGCTTACATCATGCCCAAACAAGCCAACGAACCTCAAGTACCACAAGCCAACGAACCTCTAGTACCACAAGCCGACGAACCTCTAGTACCACAAGCCGACGAACCTCAAGTACCACAAGCTGGGGGTCTTGTTAGTATGCTTGACGACTCTGGTCTGGACGTATGTGATGATGGTCGTGGAGTAGGTTCTGTACCGCTAGAAGATGAGCAAGAGCGGCGTGTGCGAGGTGGAGTCGAAGATGGTGACGAGCTGCGGGGTCTTTCTCAGGAGGAGTT